GCCCTCTTCAACCTCTTGGACAAACGTCCGAAATACATCAACATCTGTCCATGCACTCTGGTTATCCTGGCTCTGGTGATCTGTCCCAACAAGTGTGTACGGTAAGAAAATTCAATGAATTTAACAACGTAATGTGCTTTAATTTGTAATTAACAATGAATTAGAAAGTACAAAATTGTAAATAAAACATTAACCTTAAATTACCTGGATGTAACATCTCTAGTGTCTTCCAGAACTCGTGTATATCAATCAATTCAACCGAAAGGTCAGAATCAAATGTCGTACGAAACGTACAGGCACAAGGAATTCCATGAGTGGTAAGCAATACACAACCGCAGTGCTCGTAAACTTCATAGCTCAAGTCTCGCATCCTCGTCAGCTCAGAGTTCAATATGTCCAGACAGTAATGCAAGACCCTCAGTGTCAAGCACGCGAAAGGGAATCTCGTAAACCCCGTATACCTCCTAAGTCTCGAAGACTCAAGCGTTGTCCTGGTAATATATTACAAAACATTATATTATAGTTAATGTAGTAATAACAATATTGTGCATTTATCAATATATTTAGTATTTATTATTGTTTAGTTTTTTATAATAGTGTTTGTTTATATTAATAATATCTAAATATGAAATAAAATATATTTTTATATATTACATTTTGGTCGGCTTTTTTTATTTATATTTATTTTTATAAATAAAATGAAATTCCTAGAATTCTAATATATGTGAAACGATCCAACACAGTAAAAAATAAGGAATGTACCTTATTCCAGTCATCTGGGACTTGATCTCCGCATCAATCTTCTACCACACTGTATCGAGCGCGTCGATCAACGTGTGAAGCCACCGCTTCAACACAGAGTGTGCACTCTCCACCCTACATGAAGTTGTGTTGCCAAAATGTGTTATCCGGTTAGTCCATGCTTTCACAAACTTCTCCTTATGGACTAACCATGTATGCTCGACATATTGTAACACTTCTAGATGATTCCGGTATTTGACACGCAATTGAGCTACGTCAGTGTCGTACTCATCAACTGTACTGGCATCGGCAATCACCTTCCACCTACCGCGCAAGAAACTCTGAGGAAAGTTCCTCCTAATAGGAGTCATTAAGCCCAACTATCTGTCAGTGACAACCACATTAGGATATACCTGAGCAGCGGCGGATACAAAAATATTAATGAGACAGAGCAAAAATTGCTGAAATATTTTTACTATATTGCACAAAATACTTTTATTACTAACTAAATATTTTATTCTTACCTTAGAGCCTATCAGAAGTCTCAGCTTATGGAGAACCCAATCATAACTGGCCTCTTTCTCGTCCTTCATGAGTGCGTATGCAATCAAGAATTTATTGTTGCACGGAGTCATGCCAATCATCTCGACCAACGACATCTTGTACCTGTGCAAATGAGACCAAAAGACAAAAAATATAATCACATAAAATTTAATCGAACATATTAAATTAAATTCATACTAATAACGTATTTATAAATTAACACACCGGTTGGTTTTGTAGGTGGAATCTATGCCGACATACAAATAATATGTCCGGAATAGTCTGACTGAATCAGGATGGGCCATGAATATGTGTGTCAAGGAATTTGTGTCCGGATCGACATCTGTATAAACTATATAACTGCTGCTCCTAGCCAAATGTAGAAGCTGAGTAGTAACGTCTCTACCCTCAAAACTTTCCTCGTGCAACATGTTTCTATAGTTATATATATGTCGCACAATAGCGTGATCTCCTGGATTTTTTTCCTGGACAGTGGCCAAAATATTTGTTGGTCTCGCCTGCGCAGCTGCGCAGCAGTCATATCACGAATAATATTTTTTGATGACTGGCTGATGCCGCTCGACTGTCGATGGCCCTTGGGATACACATCAAATGAATGATTGTGGAAGCCCTTCTCTTTGTTTTGACACTTGTGGATCATCCAGAATTGCGTTCTGGGCACCCGCTTTACTTTTATCTCAAAAGGGCACTGGCACTTGTTGGTTTTCAAACTTCTAGAAGCAACATCTACCTTCTTGCCTCTATAACGTTCGCCTCGTTTTCACTTCAAGATCTTCAACCTTCCTCCTTTTGTGTGTTTCGAAATAATCAAATCGAAACCATTTAGAAGTGCCGTAATTTTTCCATCATTAATCACAGCCAGATCACTAACAAAGAATGTAGTTGGATTGAAAGCGGAATTGTAATCAATACCATCTCCTCCAAAATCTTCCAATGACACCTGCAATATATTACAATATTTCAAACATGTTAAATTATAATCTATAACATAATAATTTATAATTCCTAACACGATAATATCTAACGTCTAATTTATAACATAATTATTTTGATTGTACGACATAATATTTTCTATTTCCTAACAGGATAATATCTAACGTCCAATTTATAACATAATTATTTCGAATCTATAACATAATAATTTCGGCTCTGTTAAACTCGTGAGTCGCGAGTACAGTCGCGACTCGCGACTTCATCTCGCGAGTCGCGAATTTTGGTTGTTTCGGCTCTGTTAAACTCGCGAGTCGCGAGAATGTGTCGCGACTCGCGAGTTTTGGTCGCGAGTCGCGAGTTTGACAGAGCCAAAAGTGCCAAAATTCGCGACTTAATCTCGCGAGTCGTGAATTTTGGGTGTTTCGGCTCTGTTAAACTCGCGAGTCGCGAGTTTTGGTCGCGAGTCGCAAGTTTGACAGAGCCAAAAGTGCCAGATTCGGTTTTGTAACGTCCAATTTATAACATAATAATTTCTAATTCCTAAAGCGATAATATATAACGTCCAATTTATAACATAATTATTTCGAACTCCTAAAGTCCAATTTATAACATAATTATTTCGATTGTACAACATAATAATTTCTGTTTCCAAACACGATAATATCTAACATTCAATTTATAAATATACAATTCTAATTAATTTCTAACTCCTAACAGGATAATATCTAACGTCAAATTTATAACATAATTATTTCGAATTTATAACATAATAATTTCAAATTCCTAAAATAATTTCTATAACAAAATAAATTCTAATAATATATTTAAAAAATAATAATAAAATAAAACCGGACGTATCAGGTTCCGTCCGGCCGTCGCCGCCGGACACCAATTGGGCCGTACGGCCGGTCTGTCCGGACACGGACCGGTCCGTACGACCCAATTTACCGCACGCACACATTGTTGTCCGGCCGACCCGACCGGGCGCCATTAAGGCCGTCCAGTTTGGTCGGTTGGACACGGCCGTTTACGTCCGGTTTCGTCGGCCGGACGAAAAAAAAAATAAAAAAATTTACCTCAGATGAAGAAGACATTTTGATGGAGAGAAAAAATGAGGAGGGCAAAATCGTCCAAGGGGTGCGATGACTAGTAATAGGGGGCGGTATATAGTAAAACCATATACTTATTAGGGTGTATTCATTTTGGAATGCGTGTGACATTTAAAGACTTTTTAAGATTTAAGATTTTTTAAGATTTACAGATTTTGTAGGAATCCTGTGAAATACCATGTCTAGAGGTGAGATTTGTAGTGGGATTTCATATATATATTTTTTTTTTCTTTAGAAATCTCAGCAAATCTTTAAAAGTCCTTACAAATCCTAATCTCAAATAATTTAAATACCTCAGAATTTTGTAAGACTTTTTAAAATTCTAATTGAATACCTTAAAACTTTTAAAAGTCTTGAGAAATATAAATTAAACCAATATTTCTAAAGTCCTAAAATTTTTTAAAAATCTTTATAAATCCCAATTAAATACAACCCTTTAGAGTGAAATGGCACTATGTCCATTATATATGTATATTATACATACATTATATGTATATTATACATCATCATCATCATCATCATCATGGGATGCCACATGTCCAAGTTGAGGCATGAGGAAAATATCATCGCCACGTACGCCATTGGAGATTCGAGCTAAAGATCTCAATCCCTCTTCATTTCTCTCTCTAACCTCCGCCTGTTTTCTCTCTCTAATCCCTTCTCCACCCAAAACCCCATCACCCAATAAAATCAGTACAATTTCCCAAACTCTGATGATAAGAAATGAAATTCAGAAGCCAAGATCATCATCTCACATACTCCCCTGGAATCGTTAATCGAAACTGAGACCTACCTGGTATTGTGTTTTTTCTTCTGGATTTTTATTTTTTTTGTCTCTGTTATAATCTTTGTTGGTAGTGTGCTGGGAATTAGTGTTTGGATGGTAAATAATAACGAATCTGATGAGCTGATTGTCGAGAGTGCTTGTTTTTCAGTCATAGACAAATGAATTAAGGAAAAGAAAGTTCATGAGAATTTTTAGAACATCTAATTCAGTAAATACTAAAAAAGGATTATTACTGTACTTGAATTGATTTATTTATAATTCTAGTGGTGTCTTTAATCTTTATCATCGTACCTGGAAATTTGTTAATGTTCTTCTATTTTATTTCTTCATGTCATATGATAAAACAATGAGTATCTCAATCTTTTTTGTGGGTTTGCTTTTTTTTTTTTTTTTCCCAACATCTATATTGAATTGTGAGGAAAAAGTCTGGAGTGGACCTTTGCAAGAACATATTTTCTACTGCCACCAAATTACATGTGTCTGAATTTTGTGCATACATAATATTTTGTCTTGGTCCGATCTGGACCTTTAATTCGTTTTTGGCGATTAATTCCATCTTCATGAATTTTATTGTAATTTGTCTTCTAACTTAAAAGGCATATTTGAGACTTTGATACTTTACGGTTTTGCAGAACACAGGCATATAATATAATCTCGGAAAGGTTTACATGCAAATAGATTTATTCTGATATTTGATTGAAATCTTGGAGCTGTGTCGCATTCATTGATCAATATCGGGACGGGTTCATATATTTCACTTCCGAAAGGATGCTAAATTATTTTCTTCTGATACTCGATTGGTAGAAGCTTATATGGAATTTGTAGCTTTACATACAGCTCTCGTCTGGCTTTAGAAGAAGCTCTCTATGGCTGCTTCAAATGAAAAGTGGATTGACAGTTTGCAGTTCTCCTCATTGTTTTATCCACCTCCACAAGATGTAGCACAACGCAAGGTGAGGTTTGGGTACAAGTCTTCCCTATACAGTTGTAGTGTCAGAAAAATGTCTATTTGTATGATTGAAGTTGATAACCTAGTTTTCTTATTATTAACTAGTGTGTAGGATTTATTTGCTGCGGATTTTGCTTGTATTCTCTTTTACTTTATTTGTGCACACTGCAGGTTTAGTCATACAATTAGTGTTTGTAATTTTCCTTATTTAGATTCTGTTCTCAAATTATCCTGGGTTTATCCCTTTCCTATTCTAACATTTCTTGCAAATTTTAAACTTTATCATAGGCTCAAATTACTGCCTATGTCGAGTACTTTGGTCAGTTCACCTCAGAACAATTTCCTGATGATATAGCAGAGGTACTTGAATTTCCCTATGACATCTAAAATATCCTATTTCATAAGAGCCTTCAGAAAATTATTTAATGGCATGGTTTCTGTTTGTACAGTCGACATGTGTTAAATAATGTCCTTATTTGTGATATATGCTTGTTTTGCAGCTGATCCGAAGTCGGTATCCATCAAAGGAGAACAGGCTTTTCGACGATGTTCTTGGTAATTGCTATTCCATGGGGAAATTGATCTACAATGTTTCCGCTTACTTTATGCAATACAACGGCATGTGTTTCTTTTCTTTTTCTTTTGGCAGCAACTTTTGTTCTTCATCATCCTGAGCATGGCCATGCTGTTATCCTCCCAATTATTTCGTGTATTATTGACGGTACAATTGAATACGATAGGAATGGCCCCCCATTTGCTTCTTTCATTTCCCTTGTTTGCCCCAACATCGAGGTACCAATTCATATTCATATTAACACTGAACTACTCATTTTCTCAATGAATTCATACTATTTAGTGTTTTTGTATTAATTATTTCTACTTTGACATATTCAAGTGGTTCCTTTTATCCTGATAATCGATCGTCTCTTTATAATAATTCAACAGCTTTTAGTAACAAAAAATGAGTGACAAAAATAAGGAATGAAGCATTTTAACATAAAGGCTTGATGGTGATAATTATATCTTGCATTGCAGGACGAGTATTCTGAGCAGTGGGCTCTTGCTTGTGGAGAAATATTACGAATTCTGACTCACTACAACAGACCAATCTACAAGTTGGAACGCCAGGAAAATGAAGCATATAGAAGCAGCAGCGGGGACCACGCTTCCACTAGTAAGTCAGCAGACGATAAACCTCCGTCTAATCCCTCGCAGCCAGAGAGGAAACCTATGAGGCTGTTGTCTCCCTGGATTACTGATATATTACTTGCAGCACCTCTTGGTGTTAGAAGTGATTATTTTCGATGGTAAGTCAATGGAACATATATAGCATCTAACGCTTAATGTTGACAACCCAAGGTTCCTTAATTTCAAAGAATACTAACTAGTGAGTTCCTTAGGCAAGTAGCAATCTAGATATTCAGAAAAGCTGGTTTCATCCTGTAAAAAAAAATTACAACTCAATCATGTTCCACAATGGGTAAAAGTACTTACTTTGAAGAAAACGATTTTTCATCTAGTAACTTCTTGCCTAACAAATATATTGTTTTTCATACCTTTTGCTAATTTGGTCGATGATATATGACCACTTATATCTGACATCTTTTTTTTATTTACCGGTCGTATATGACATCTTTTAAATTACATATGGATCAGTCTTTTGACACCCGGAAGTAAAATAATTAATCTAAAAAAATAAAGATAGGTGCATGAATATCTGACATTAGCTATGTATCATTACGTAGCTACTTCCTGTTAGAAAATATTCATTTTCCTTTGAGTTAAACTTTTTCTATCCTAGCATTGGTTTATTATGTACTAGACATTTATGTGTGCAGGTGTGGAGGTGTCATGGGAAAATACGCAGCTGGAGAACTGAAACCACCTTTGATTGGTTAGTCATTTCTGACATATCTCCTCATAACTTGCCATTAAGCTTGTTAAACATCTGAAACTGGTATGTTCTAGGATGGTCCTTTTTTAGGTTCCTTTTCTTTTTTCCATTCATGTTGTGATTGAAAGATAGAGCACGAGTGAAACGTAAGAATTCTTGACTTTAACATTATTTGCTGAATGGAAGAACAAAAATCATGTAGTGATACTAATTGATAATTAAGATTCATTGGTAAGACGTCTAAGTCATATATAACCACTACAAAGATTTAGTTCATTTGTTTAGGGACTTATGTCAGACTAATCTGCTGCAGAACATCTATGATGGAATTAGGTTTATATCAACTCAACTATAAATTCCTTTGCTTTCACTTGCATTCATTCGGATTACTAGAAATAAAACCTTTTGATTTGTTGCTAGTTGCTACTGAATTTTAGATGCACAACCTTAATATGCACTGTTGCATGAATTCTATGCTGGGTGGAACACTGATTTGAAATACTAATTTTTCTACTCAACTTCTGTAACCTTGTATTTCTGACAGAACATTAACTGAAAAGCGATTCGATTTCTTACAAGAATGATTACTTCTTAATGTTATCTCAGCTTCTTCTCGTGGATCTGGAAAGCATCCCCAACTTATGCCAGCAACTCCGAGGTGGGCTGTTGCTAATGGTGCGGGAGTTATACTTAGTGTGTGCGATGAGGAAGTAACTCGATATGAAACTGCTACATTAACGGCAGCTGCTGTGCCTGCACTTCTTCTTCCGCCCCCGACTACACCCATGGATGAGCATCTAGTGGCTGGTCTGCCAGCGCTCGAGCCCTATGCACGCCTTTTTCATAGGTTAGTCTATATTCTTTTAGTTATTTTTTAGAGGCTGTTGCTAATTTCATTATATGTTAAAATTTATATTCTGGACTAGGTATTATGCAATTGCTAGTCCGAGTGCCACGCAAAGGCTGCTTTTAGGACTGCTAGAAGCTCCACCTTCGTGGGCTCCAGATGCTCTTGATGCGGCTGTACAGTTAGTGGAACTCCTTCGAGCAGCAGAGGACTATGCCACAGGCATGAGGGTATTTCCCCTAACGTTCAATTTATAATTTTCCTTTCATATTTGAAAAAAAAAAAATTAGAAATGTTATCAGTGTATAGTTTTAGGTGTTGATACTGTCTCCATCGTGAAAAGGAAGGCATCCTTTTTTGTAAAAACTTTAATTAACCTTTGTCTTAAAATCCTGACTGTGTAATCATCTTGCTGAAGCTTCCTAGGAACTGGATGCACTTGCATTTCTTGCGAGCGATCGGGATCGCGATGTCTATGCGAGCTGGAATTGCAGCAGATGCAGCTGCCGCTTTGCTTTTCCGTATACTTTCTCAACCGGCTTTACTTTTCCCTCCTCTGAGACAAGTAGACGGTATTGAAGTCCAACGTGAACCTCTGGGTGGCTACATTTCATCTGATAGAAAGCAGGTTCTTCGTCTACCACAGCTTCCAAATGCTTTTGTCAACATACAGCTTTTTTTATTTTTATTTTTTTATTTTTATTTTTTGGCTGCATTTTTAAATGGTATCAACCAGTGATTTTTCACTTTTCAGCAAAGAGAATTACCTGCAGCGGAAGCTACAGTAGAAGCAACTGCCCAAGGCATCGCATCTATGCTTTGCGCACACGGCCCAGAGGTCGAATGGAGAATATGCACAATATGGGAAGCTGCGTATGGCCTGATCCCTTTAAGCTCGTCGGCCGTTGACCTTCCTGATATCGTAGTCGCCACACCCTTGCAACCTCCCTTGCTTTCTTGGAACTTATATATACCTCTACTCAAAGTACTCGAATACCTTCCCCGTGGTGGCCCATCTGAGACCTGCCTTGTGAAGATATTTGTTGCCACAGTCGAGGCCATCCTGCAGAGGACCTTTCCGCCAGAGTCTTCCAGGGAACAAATTCGAAAAACTCGGTACACTTTTGGACCCGCATCAAAGAATCTTGCCGTGGCCGAGCTTCGCGCTATGGTCCACTCGCTGTTCCTGGAGTCATGTGCCTCGGTTGAGCTGGCATCTAGGCTTCTTTTTGTCGTGTTGACCGTGTGTGTTAGTCACGAAGCACAGTTCATTGGGAGCAAGCGCCCGAAGGGTGATAATTCACATTCTGAAGAGTTGAATGATGAGGTCCAAAGTGTCAACGGGAAGAAAAGGGAACTAGACAACAAACAAAATAAGAAGCATGGGCCTGTGGCAGCATTCGATTCTTATGTAATTGCTGCTGTTTGTGCTCTGGCATGTGAGCTTCAGCTCTTCCCCTTGATTTCGAAAGGGGGACATTTGACCAATTCATCAAAAGCAATTGACCTCCCAGGTGAGCTTCAGAGCAGCGTAGATTCTGCTGTGAACCACACCCGCCGGATTCTGGCAATTTTAGAGGCACTTTTTTCATTGAAGCCATCTTCCATCGGCACATCTTGGAGTTACAGCTCGAATGAGATAGTGGCGGCCGCTATGGTGGCGGCCCATGTTTCTGATTTGTTCAGGCACTCAAAAGCTTGCATGCGTTCACTTTCCATCCTTATAAAGTGCAAGTGGGACGGTGAGATCCACTCTAGGGCATTGTCTCTCTTCAACCTAATTGATATCCACAGAAAAGTCGTCGCTTCCATTGTGAACAAAGCCGAGCCACTTGGGGCCCACGTGCTGCATGCGCCACCATCCAAGGAAATACCTTTGTGTTTTCATGGGAAAAATTTTGATGCTTGCACCAGCTGTCGACACGTGGAAGCGGCCCAGCCATCTTCATCAGCATGCAACTCTAGTTGTGGGGCGTTGGTTAATTATGGGAAGGCTGAACCTGGGGAAGTTGAAAGATGTGGTACTGGAAAAGGAATCTCTAGTTTCCCTGTAGATGCTTCAGATTTGGCCAACTTCTTGACAATGGATAGGCATATTGGGTTCAACTGCAGTGCGCAAGTTCTTCTGAGGTCTGTCCTTGCAGAGAAACAAGAGTTGTGTTTTTCTGTTGTGTCGTTGCTCTGGCACAAATTGATAATATCACCTGAAACCCAACCGATTGCCGAGAGCACATCCGCACAGCAAGGATGGAGACAGGTAAAACAATTGGTTATGCTTATGCTTTGTGTGCACAATTGGTTTGGAGCATTGATTTCTTGCTTCATTCTTCGACATTCGTATTATACATTGCGCACATACAACTGGTACATATGGGTTCTATTTAATATATGACTGGATTTGATCTTCCCATTTTAACTGTTTCTAATTAAATGTTCCCCTGAAGTAGGTTGGAATTTGGTAATGCAGAGTACTGCTGTAGTATAATCAAGCAATTTTGTTTGAAGTCTTACATTTCTAGAAAGGAATAAGGAGTTCACAGTTTTTTTGAAGGATAACTTATTTTTACCCTTCGAAACATTGTTAGATGAACAACAGCTTCCAGAGTTGTTATTGTATTATATAGAAGTAATGCTAATTACTTTAATTAAGTTCAAGAGCTTTCAGCCTCCAATTCCTTACCTACTCTTCCCGCACAATAACATTTTGACAGGTTCCTAATTGATGTTGTTTTATGTTATGACATAGAGTGCAGAAATTGCTCTACCTTTTACCCTCTCTTATTTAAATATCAATATAAATCTCTCTCCATTTAGGAGAATCGAGATTTTATAGTATCTTCCGTATCTCAGATTTTTTTAGTTGCGATATCTTCTGTCTGAACATAGTACTTATATGCTTGCAGCTGAATTTTCCTTTTCGTTGTTTTCATTTTCGTTTTATTATCTTTATATATTTTTTCTTTTAAATAGATATTGCTAACTTTATTGGTTAAAGCTTGGTCTAATGAGCTTGATTTTTCAACACAGGTCGTTGCCGCTCTCTGCAATGTAGTATCTGCATCACCAGCAAAAGCTGCAACAGCAGTGGTCCTTCAGGTCCCGTTTTTATCCTCCTGCTTTTTTTTCTTTTGCTTGAATTCCACGTACTGAAATGTGTTCCTCTGTTGATTTGATTTCTTTATTTTACTAGTTATTGAAACTACAAATTTCTTTTGGTACTGAAATGTGTTCCTCTATTGATTTGATTTCTTTATTTTACCAGTTATTGAAACTACAAATTTCTTTTGGTCCAATTCGCACATCATATATCACTTCTATTGTCTTTCTTTGTCAGGCCGAGAGGGAACTGAAACCTTGGATTGCTAAAGATGATGAGCTCGGGCAGAAGATGTGGAGAGTCAACCAGAGGATCGTGAAAGTCATAGTCGAGTTAATGAGAAATCACGAGGCCCCAGAGTCATTGGTAGTCCTTGCTAGTGCATCAGATGTCCTCCTTCGTGCGACAGATGGAATGCTTGTGGATGGAGAAGCTTGCACATTACCACAGCTTGAGGTATCTAATTTTGATCGTTTGCTTTCTTTTTATTTTGCTCTGTTATGACGTGGGTCGGAAGTTCAATCATTTGGCTCATTGCAAAAATTACTTGTCTTTCGGTTTCACCTTACAATTTAAACCTTGTTCAGTTGGGTTTCTGTGATTTTGACGGATGTCAAGTTTTTTATTTTATACACTCGGCCAGAGCTCAGGTTTAGTTTTCAAAATCTAACCTTAATTTGGTTTTTGCTCGAAATATTGTCAGCTGCTGGAAGTGACAGCCAGAGCTGTTCAGCCAGTGCTTGAATGGGGAGAATCTGGGTTGCCAGTTGCTGATGGCCTTTCGAACCTGTTGAAGGTATACTTTAATCTGTGATTCACGTTCATGAAACACTGGGAAAACAATTATCTCAGAAAATGTTAAGTTTCATTTCTCTCTGTGGAAGGTCTTTCGCTTATAATTGCATGTCTTAATTTAACATGTCGACAAACAATTATCTCATAGAATTACGAAATTTTCCCTTGAGATGTTACAATACCACATTTTTCACAACTATCTATCTCTCCATAAAATTCTCTCCAACTTTTTTTTTTTAATTATCTAAATGTCAAAATTGAGAGACCCACTAATAGTGTTCGTTATTAATGGGTTATGATTGGGCAGTGCCGGCTCCCTGCCACTGTACGTTGCGTGTCTCACCCGAGCGCTCATGTGCGTGCTCTCAGCAGCTCAGTACTTCGTGCTATACTGCAAACGGGCCCCATAAAATCGAAAGGCAATCAAGTAGAACCCAACAGTCCATGTTATCATTACCCAAATGTGGGCACCACCAATTGGCAAGCTGATGTTGAGAAGTGTTTGATTTGGGAAGCTCACAGCAGACGTGCAACCGGCCTACCCACTCACTTTGTTGATGCTGCTGCCAAGGAATTAGGCTGTACCATTACCATATCCACTTAGAAACAAAAAAAATAATTGGCCCACTTTTCCATTGGGTGAAAGAGTAAGGAAAAAGGCTATAAATCTTTGACTCGATAATGTAGGCGAGGAAAATTCACTTCTCGGGCCAGGACCCGCTGTGCTGTCCGCATGGCATATTAATGTTTACTAGCTTAAGTTAAGCCCCCCGACTTGTGACCTATACCTGTACGTGTCGGGCTTTGTTTATCGCAAACACGGTGACTTCAGCTCTTTAGTAAATATTCAGTTCAGGATCATGTAAGACGCTCCTATGTATGTTCCATGATTTCGATCACTTCTTGGAGACATATGACTCATACATGTGTTAAGGTTTGCCTCATCTTGCACGCTTTCAATTAACACATGTTAGGAAATCTTATATTATCTAATATGTGCAACATTATATACAATTATATTAACTATTCATTATTTTATGGACTTAATCAAGTAAACTAAATAACTACACAATTAATATGGAACTTGAGTAGATAATTAATAGAAGAATTTGCACCCATACCACAAGATATTATTTATATTACATATATACATCCCATAATTATTTATTTACGAACATACCAAAAGCATCATAATTATTTGCAAATATACCAATTTTTTTTTTTGTTTAAATATAACCCTAACCGATGACTCTCACCCTCACCCTCTTCTATCTTCCTCCTCCATTGACATGCCTCCCTCCCAGTAAGAGGTCTGATCATCCTCGAGTTCAGAAAAGGCATCAAATCCGACCCTTCCGACCTCGTCTTCTCCTCCTGGTGCCCCCGCCGACGCTGCCCATTTGTAACGCCCCGTTTGAATTTGAATTATTTGAGAATATTTATTAGTTTATTATTGTCATTATTGTTGCTTATTTATATTATTATTATTATTATTATTATTATTATTATTATTATTATTATTATTATTATTATTATTATTATTAGTAAATATTTATTTGTGATTAAATATCTAAGTGTTTTAAATGCCTATTATTATATAAATATATATTGCGTGTATTATAAATATAAATAATCCGGTTTTATTTATTTATTTCGGGCCATATTCTATTAAATCGAATCGAGCAAAAAATCTTGTTATAGCGTGTATTCTCCTACCCCTTTCAGTTTTCAGCCTGTTATTGTTGGCCCAAACTACTTGTTATTACTTGGCCCAAATAATATTTTTTTTTAGTAACCCATTTGATTATAAAATGAGGCCCAACAAGAGTTAATGAGCAGATATTTTCTTCTGCTCCAGACGACCGAGTCCTCATCACCAACGGATCAAATCAG